GCCAGCCAGAAGATGATAATGGTAGTACAATACAACAACGCTGGCTTATTTAGATGCCTATGTTACGTAATCGTGTCCTTGTAATCCGAGCCGACTTTACCGTTAAGCAAGTTAATTTACCGTTATTCTAGTAAAGTTAAGTCACTTAACTTAAGTGACTTAATTCCTTTATCTAGCTATAATTGAGTGGTTCACGTCGAACTTTTAACTAGTTAAGTGGATGTATATCTAGATAAAAGTTCGACGTGAACTATGCTTATGACGCAGTTTGGCCCGAATCTACTTTGTGCAGATAACGCTTGACGGTCATGGATGAGTGAATCCGTTCTATGGTTACGTCGTCTTGCAAATGGCAGCACCCTTATGATGATGACGATTGCGAGGACGTGTGACGACTGCGATGGTGATGAAGACGGTGGTGGTGGTGGTGACGACGAAGATTTTGGTGAATATGATGTTGGTGATTATGATAATACTATACGACTAAATATTAGGACACCTGACTGTCAACGGCTCCAATATATCCAGTCCAGTATGACTTTAATAAATGTTAGGCCTACTCACATGTTATTTTAGACTAGAGGTCGTGTCTCATTATTGAAAAAAAAAATGTACAAGAAGCTATACAGTCTCGTTTATTGTATACTATTCAAATGTTTAAGTCAACTCTAGAGACTGATAATAAATTCAGTAATAGTGAAGCCGATGAGAAGGAAATGCCCATCCGAATTATTCTACCATTCAAAGACCAGAAATCTGCCAACTCATCAGTTAAGCGTTAACTACGCCAACTAAGCAACAAAATAGACCAAAACATTTTTTCCTGTTTTCACAAGCAGAAAAATAAGTGATGAAATTAAGAAAACAGAAAGAAAACCTACAATCATAAATCAGCAGTGTGTTGTGTACAGATTTAAATGTGACTTGTGTGATGCAAGTTATGTCGGATACACAAACCGACGTATTGCTGAACATACAAGATTTATGTTAGGACAACATGCTAAGGAACATCATATCAGCCCAAGCAGTATTGAGTCATGTTTCAGCATTTTAAAGAAATGTAGAAACAAATTTGACTGTCTCATTCATGAAATGCTATTTATTAGACAATTAAAACCCAGTCTGAATAAACAATGTGACTCTGTCAAAGCAAAGCTTTTTATCTAACACAGGGATTAATATTCCACTGTTATGAACTTTGACATTGTAGATTAGCTTTTTTCTATTGATTATAGTTGCTGTATATTTTTTACTTCATCATTTGATCTTGAAAATGACACCATGAAGGAGTCGAAACGTCGATCTTTTCTTTTTAGCGTTATTTTTTATGTTAAACATAATTGTTATTTATTTTATCTAATTAAATAATGCAATAGTGTGTCCTACATACCCAAGGAGCGTGATTGGATTGTCCAGCATCTGAAGCCGAGCACTCAGTGATGCGTCGTACGACCGTCGCACAGTGGGCCAGGGCGAAATCAAAGTGTGCCAAAAGTCCATTTTGGTGACTATGGCTTTTACACTTTTTTTCACATGATTGAAGAAGTTATACCCTGGTGAATCTATCCTGAAAATATTTTACATTTAAACGAATTTTAAGGGTAGTATTTTTCAACATAGGAGAGAAAGTTTAGATTCATGTGGATTCATGCTTTAATTTTTACATCACCATCTTCAGTATAGCCTTAGCTTTATGATGGTACCAAATTTAGCTGCTACTTTTTGCAACTTTTCGAGCTAGACGTACTTTTATTAGTCTTGTTTTCGTACATTTGAGACACAATTTAATTAGAGCAAACCGAAAATCAGAGGGATGTACGCGCATCTACTCAACCAGTTCATTCAAAGCGTGGGAAAAGCTCTCCAAAAATGTACAAACTGTGATTTAACAGTAACAAATCTTCTAATATTGTGTTGCTGTTTAGAATACCTTATTAAATGTTGATCAGCCTAATAATCCAAATAGCATATATCATAATGAAGATGATATCTACAAGCAGGCCTATATCTAGGCGTCAATTGTTTTTAACTTTATTCAAAGACATCCAAGATTTTGAAAAGCTTCCTGTTTCAACTTAAGGAGAGGTGAGCGTTATGATAAAACAATAACGTTACAGTTTTGTGTTGAAAACTTTATTTTGTAGAACCATAAATACGTACTGAACATAATTTCACAACGTTTGCACGTTCCTACAACGTTGTGTAAACGTTATTTTGTGACATACCGGTACCTAATAACCACAACATTGGCCAAGAAAGTTATAAGAACGTAAACACGTGTTTGTCGGGTTTCTAAAGAAAATAACTCGTGGCTTGACAACAGGATTCCATTTTCTGTTGAAGTTATTCATGTTTTGACACAGAACAGAGATATTCTTTCCACACCAGCAGAAAACCCACAAGAGACTTCAAAACAACCCAAACCGGGACGTCCTATCGAAGTATGGGAGGATCTTTAAAGAGAGTTCGCACAAGGGTAAAGTGCAATTAGAGACGTTGACATAAAATGTACGCACTGAACTTCTTTATGCAGCATTGCAAGGGGCGTTCAAGAAGAATCGATTTTTAAAGTCCACTAAAATGTAGAAAATACATACACATTTTATTTCTCTGACGAATTGTAGTTTATCTCCCCAACGCTGATGGGTGGGGGAGCTCTCCTCGACGGGGACCCTGCCCCTTCCCCTCCCCCTGCTGGCGTCACCCCGAAGGCGCAAACCGGAATCGTTTACGACTGATGAAACATTGCCCATCTCTGTAGCTCTATAGTAAAATGAGACGCCTCCTTACACAAGAGTAGCAAAAAAGCATTGCTATCCTGGTGGTACAGTATACCTGTCAAAGACGATAGGAAAAGTTCCTCTTCAAAGCCTCCTCGTTCACACTGAGAATTATCAAAAAAACATTAAACGACCGTTATCGATACCTTTACAATATAGGCCTAATATGATTGAGGAAGGAATTAATATATCATGACATTGGTGTAGGCCTAATGTCTGATTCCATGGAATCTCAAATGCAAATACATTTTAAATTTTAAAAATGTAAAATTAGGTTGTCTGGTATTATTATAAAGTTTGATATCGATTTCGATTTCGATTTATTTAAAAAAAAGTATATATTCACTGTAAGATTAACAATAGAAATGTTAATGTTGAACTATGCCTAAAACAGAAAAAAAAAATGTATTTTGATGACGTCATGGGAAAGGAAAAAAGTTTCCCACAGAAGTTCTTTTGTCCCAAACCTCCTTAAACATTTCGAAAATCATTGCAATATGAACCTGTTTTGGTATAACAATGAAAACTGACATCGTCCAATCAGAAAACAGTACAAAAATGACGTCATATAGATTTGAAAATGCTTTTATTGAATTGTACGGGTATGAAAACCTCTTGATAAGTCTTGTATTTGCTTCTGTAATGAGTAATTAATTTTGGCACACTTTGACTTCAGTCTGCCCCACTGTGCGTCGCACGACGAATCCAATTCCGCTCCCTGTGAGCGCTAGATGGTACGACGTCGTCTGCTGATTGTCGGTGTTCGTCTGTACGGATCGTCATTAAAAACGATCAGTTGCGTTCGTTCTACATGGATTCGCGTCGGTCGACGACCGTCGGGGGCGCAGTAATTGCCCAGCTGTATAATATGGCTGGTGTCTGCTACATTTAACTCCTGGTGCGGTCCAGAATCTTCACTAATATTTGTATTAATTTCTATATCAGTTATCTTACAAAATGTTTTTGTAATACTATTGTTGACATTTGGTTCTTACGAATAATGTATCTTCATGTACTTGGCAGATTTAAATTCCATCGACATTGATACCAGTTTTTTTTAGGCTAGTACTACGGCAACCAAGTATAGGCGAGAGAGAGTATTCTTGCCTATGACTGCTTTGTAATTTTACGTAATTGTCTCTGTTATGAAGTGTTTTAACCAATGTGTGACGAAAATATTTATTTGACGTATGACCGTCCGAGACATTTTCTATTAAATGATATCAATCCAAAAATCTCTGTCTAATCTATCTAGGTATGTAGTGACATCATTTATGCGTCTAATGTTTTCACTCATGAACCTATTCTTAATGTAAACCTTTTGATCAAAAGTTACAAATATTTTTTTTAGGCCTAAAAGCACACGCACACACACACCCACACAGGCAAATTCATAGATATTCCGTGAGCACCTCATTTCATGATCACTACTAATATGCCTTGCCATTACACAAGAACTTCCTAACTCCATACACTGTTAACTCCTATTCAGGTGGTTTAGAGATGGATACACATAACATTCATATCATGCATGCAGGTGGGAACTCCATTGAGTGACTTCACAAAGTGTTGCATCTCATTTTCTTGTTTGCTGTCGTTGTGATCTTCCAACCTCATCATTTTTTAAGCTTTTTTACCGTAGGATTGGTCTGATGTTAATCGATGCATATACAGGTATAGATGTTTGATGATCTTATTCGGGAGTGCTAAGTGTTTTTTTTTTCTTTCTCTCTTTCTTCTTCGGTGAGTTTTTTCGTTTTTTGTTTAGTATTCATTTCTGTTATAGCTTGCCTTGATATTTGACATTTTTCAAAATTACAATCAAAACAATTTGAAAAAAATATAAATATAGGGCCTATACACTTTAAATTTCATTTATTGTAGAACGTTGGTTAATAAAGAGTATAAACTCTTTGCAATATTCAAAATATTAAAAATATAAACCTACAATCTCAAAATAATCTAAACATACAGACAGGCGTAAAAACAAAAAAAAATTAAATAAAAGATCATTTTAGATAAAGTTGGTTTCCCAATTAAATTCAGGAAGTTTAGCCGGGTGTTTAGCGCTCGTTTAATAGGCCTAGTAGGTCCACTGGGGCCACTGAAATGTAGAACGTACAAATGAATAATATAGGCGTAGGAGTGATGATATGTTCAGTTTAAACTGTGGCAAGTTATAGCTGGGAGAGAAGTACTCGAACGGTGCGTGAAGTGGATGAGCATTGAACCGTGCATTTACCGTACTTTAGGAACTAATGTTGTACAGTATATGGCTTTGAAAAGACTGACGCGTTCTGAGGAACGTGTAGTACGACCAAAGGAAGTGTTTACAGCCTGGAGGTCCAAGCTTAGCAAGGCTCTTATAGCACGTTCTATCTTTAAAAGCGACATAGGCGATGCTTGGGTGCAAAATATCTTAGGCAGAGATAAAATACTGAACCACCAATTACATCAAGCCACAAGTGCACTTAGGCCTACTGTCAACATGTGGACGTAAAAGGCATCAAACTGCAAGTAGGCCTATGTAGTATATAGTAGGAAGATTTCGACGTGACTCTGAACGTGTTCACTAATGCGTGACCGTCCTACATTCTCTGCACAACGTTGGTTTGGTCAAATTGCGTCCTAGGGCCCGAACGAGCGGGAAAAAAAATATCCGTGCGACGTTATTGTTTTCTATGTCCTATCACGTCGTGTTATCGAGTCGCTAAAGACTGGCACTACGCCGACGGTCGTCGTCCGACGCTATTCCATAGAAAACACATTGACGAGGCACGTACCGTAACGGCCGGATTCTTAAAATGAAAATCCGCTCAGCATGCCGTCAATAATCGGTAGTTGGCGTCGCGTCGTAAGCGTGACGATTGTTTCATCGACAGACGGTCTTACAGCCGTTGTACGACGCATTGTGTGCCTGACTTTACTCCTTTCACGCATTCACGATTTTTTTTTTTTTTTTTTTTTTTTTTTTTGAAAATCGCAGTGGCGCCATACTCAATTTCGGTGGTCAATGGTATCGTAATTCACCATAGCGCACCGTACTCGATCCTGATGCAATCGTAATGGAGCACGATTTTTGTAATGTAAAAAAAAAGGGGAAAAAAACAGTGCTATATCGTAGCTTCGAAAAAAAATCTTAGTCTACAGTCGCAGCATCGTGTGAGTGCCGTAAAGTTGTTGTCATTTGTCGTGACGTCTTGTGCATTCCGAATCATTCGTAGTGGTCACAACGCCTATCAGCATCTTGCATATTATTATATTGCAGGTTTTTGAACATGGTGAAATACCAACAAATATCGCGAGGACATTCAAATATTTCCTAAATTGCGCCTTTTTCGTCATGTGATTAATTAAATCAAACAGGTGTCTTGTTAAATCGTATTGACGTCGACATGCGTCTTGATGCCCCTTTGCTACATTCACGATTTTCGCTACGACAGAGCACGATTTTTCATGTTTTTAAATCGCAATGGCGTCGTAGTGAATGTCGTGGTCAAAAATAATTCATCGTATTGCATCGCACTGAATCTTGATGTCATCGTGATGAAGCACGATCTTTTTGGAATGTTAAAAAAAATTGTGCTCAATCGTAGCTGTGACAAAAATCTTGGTTTACCGCAGCGGCATCGTGTTAGTGGCGTAACGTTGTCGTCGTGACTGTGTCTTGTCCATTCGTACTACCAACAACACCTACAACAAGCAGAGACGTCACTGCGGTGCTGAGATGATTAGATACGATGCCACCAGGATACCATTAAGACCATGGTTTATATCACGTGGCTCTGTGTCAGAAAAGTTTTTTCAACACACTGAACAATTCCTTGCTCACTTGGAGGAAGTTTCTGAAGCCTCTTGGGTCT